GTCTATTCTTATTTTGCAGTGTTAAATGTTGAAAAAAAATTTGTAGATTATGGTTTTAAGTTTATGTCATTTTCACATTTTGTATCTATTTTTGTAATACCTGATAGCTTATAGTTTAAAGTCTAACATATTATTTTATAATTTTTTTTTTTTTGAAAAGATTTTTTTATGATTATTAATTATGTTGCATATTCATATTTAATTGTGTCGCATATTCATATTTTACAGTGTTATTTCTTAAAAATTAATATAGAACATTATGACTTTAAGTTTATGTCATTTTGTATCAATTTTTTGAAACCTAAGTCATATATATATATATATATATATATATATATATATATATATATATATATATATATATATATATATATATATATATATATTGAGTATCACTAATAAATTTCTGTTAATTAGTTAATACAGTCTTAAGTATTAACTAATTATACTTTGAAACCTAAGTATCACTTTGTTTAATACAGTCTTATGAACTACAACTTTTTTTTTTTTTTTTATTTAGCAAAAACACTAATTTAGTATGTAGTGTATTTGTGTTATGTGCAGTTCTGAAATATTGGCAGAAGACATTATAAGTCTTTGTAAGTAATGAAAAACCCTGCATTTTTTCTATCTTTTTTATATTCATATATATGAATTTCAATACAAATTATATGAAATTGAAAAAAAAAATATTAAAAGACTTTTTGATAAATTATATGAATTGAAAGTATAATAAAATTTGAGCTTGTTACTTGCAGATATTTAAATTTATCATAGACTGCAAATCAACAATGTATAGGATATATAGTTTGTCAAGGTATGTTCAAAGTATAGAAATAATTAGTAATATACTTTTTAAAGTTTAGAGTACATATTCTCAATACTTTACAATACAACCCAAATCTATAATAGTCTATTAACAAAACATAAGAATTATCAAAAGTACATATTCTCAATACTTTACAATATTATAGAACTCAAACCTATAATATACATCCGAAAAATAATGGAAAACTATAGAGTTGTGCAGAAAAATTTCATCATGCACTCCAACCACCAAATTAGCTATATATGTCCTATGATACTTGAATTCCTTGCAAAAGAATAATTCAACCATTCAAACAATTTGATTACAATGCAATCACCTACTTGGAAGAATATGTGCTTGGAAAACTTCAAATTAATTACAGATTGAAATAAGATTTTTAAAAAAGATTGAAACTGTTAATATGTTATTACCCAATAAAAGAAAGAATGATGATCACGTACGCCTTGTTGGAATACTTTATGCAAAATGTGAAAATGCAGGAGAAACAACTATAATAGAAAATAATTAATAAATAAATATAAAAGGAAACTAAAACATGAATATAACATTTTATACTGCAACATTAAAAAAACATAAACTGCATAATCACCACAAAAGAACTTGTAATCCTTACTTTACCTATAGAAACTAAATTTAATAGAATGGAATTCTTCAAATTGAAAAGCTAAGCTCCAAATTGCTCTTCCTCAATCTTCTGTTTCAGTTTGGGTGATGAAGTGCTGGGTTTTGGTCTATATTTATAGGTCATTTAGGAGTGTTTGGGTACAACATGGAGTTGGAAGATTAAATTTGATTTTAACTGGGAATTAAACATGCACTTTTTTAAAGATTTTTTTATTTAAATCTTAATAATTTAGCCATGCATTTGAGTTTTAATGTGAGTCTAAAATTTAGTAGATTTAATATAGAATTAACGGAGAATTATAAAACTAATAATGGAGAATATAATTTTTAACGGGAAAATGAATAATATAATATTGTTAAATAGAAATATGAATTTTAATATTGTTGTAATGCTAATATTATATTTGACTATTTTACTACTCAATCATCCCTTTCTGACTAACATATGTTCGAATATTATATATTATATATATGTTATAATAACGATAAAATTAACAATAATAATTATAATATATGTTGCTTCATATTTTTAGTATTTGTAGTGCCAGATTTATTTATCACGCACAAAGTATTATAATAGTGTTTTAATATTGTCATATTGTATTATAAATAGGAATTCTAATATAGAATTATAGTACGAATAGAAAAGTAGGAAATAATATATTCTATTAGGAATTGTATTACACTATTTCACAATATTAGAATAGGAATTTTAATGTAGAATTATAGTACGAATAGAAAAGTAGGAAATAATATATTCTATTAGATATTATATTACACTATTTTACAATATTAGAATGAGAATTTTAGTGTAGAATTATAGTCTAATAGTAAAGTAGAAAACAATATATTAAAATTTGAGGATTTTGGGCGGGAAGTTAAGTTGAAGATTTCATTTTTATCTACTGTACTAATAAGAGCCCAAGAGAGTTAGGCCTATATTAGGTAGAAAAAATGGCGGTCAAATTTTTTAATCAAATGAATGGCTCAGATTGATCAGATATTAATTTTTCTTTAAGATTTACTAATTTATCCTTAATGATTATGATTATCCGTTAACTTTTCCGTTAAATATTAACTTTTCCGTTAATTTCTGTTAATTCACCGTTAACTTACTCATTCATTTCATTAAGAAAGGTTTTATGTTCGAACCTCATCCCAATCAAAGTTGGCATAATTAGTACTCTATTTTACTCTTATTAAATTAAATAATAATTTAGTAGCTACAACAAAAAATAATACATATGCATTTCTTTAATTTAGAATTATGTGTCTACAATGTCTTTATTCAAACAAAAATTACTCATTATCAATAAATTAAATAAGAAAAATAATTTCATTAGTTATATTGTATTTTTTTCTCCAATATAAAAATTCTTTAATTTACATTCAAATTCATTAATTGATTATATTCGCTACATTTTCCTTACAATGTCTGTATTAAAAAAAAAATATTCATTATCAATAAATTAATTAATAGAAATAATTTTTTTAGTTATATTGTCTTTATATTTCTCCAATATAAAAATTCTTTACATTCAAATTCATCAATAGATTATATTCACTACATTGTCTATTATCTTTTTTTTGTGCACTATTTTTTAATTACATATCAAAGTTATAATACAAAAATAATGATATATATTTATTTACCAAGTATTTTATTAATACCATGAAAAAATTAAAAAAAAATAATTAATAAAGCCAACCATATTAACTACTTGAGGGATTTAATTTGTTGACAAAGAGAGTATTCAAATCACACAACAAATTGAAGTGAGAACTACCTCGCAATGTCCTTGTTTGACAATCAGCAGTTAGCGGTTATCGTTAGCGGATTATATTAGCGAATTTGACCAGCGAATTATACCAACGGTTGGTAAAAAGATATTTGAAAAAATTAGTTGTTTAGATTAACATGTAAAATGAACTAAGGGTATACATATATTTAATAATAATAATAATAATAATAATAATAATAATAATAATAATAATAATTGTTTTAAAAAAATAAAAAATATATAATTAAGCCAATCATATTAACTACTTGGGGGATTTATTGACAAAAAGAGTATTCAAATCACACAACAAATTGAAGTGGGAAACTATCTAGCAATGTCCTTGTTTGGCAACCCGCAGTTAGCTCTTCAATATTAGTATATATTTAATATTTTATGCCCTAATTTTATTTGCTCTCCCTTATGTCCCCTATTTGGTTTCTACCATACTTATACAATTATTTTATTGACAATTATAATCAATCTTTACTATATTATCTTGCATTTGTAAACTTAAAATTGCCTATTTAAATAGGCAAATTTAACATTCAATTATCTATATATGCATGAACAATTCCAATATGCGCGCATGGGTAGCTCAACTGGTTATAGAGGTGAAATTTTGGAAGAATGACCAGGGATCGAGTCTCACCAGCGGTAGTGAGGGGGGCTCCTTGTGCGCACCTGTCTAGCCTCTGAGTCACCATGATTTACAACCTCCCACCGCTAATTCTGAGGATTTTCGCGCGTTTTGGCAAGTGGGGGTGTTATGGTATTACAGTGACCATTTAGCGCGGGCAGATTCCAGAATACACCAACAGCGTTGACAACATACACCAATAGTGTAATGAAACACACCAATGGTGTACTCTCGTGTTATGGTAATTACAATGGCCATTTATAGCGGCCGGGTTCCAGAATACACCAACAGTGTTGACAACATGCACCAATAGTGTAATAAAATACACAACAATGTGATTTTCCCTATTTCGGTGTGTTATGACGAGTTTATCCTTGCAGTTCGCTGGGTAGGAGAATGAGCGCGAAAATACTGAAAAAATCTTGATTAATATGATTCATTGGATCTATCTAATCTAATGGCCTATAATTGACCATATGACCACACCTAACAACATGACCACATGTGATCACCCATATATATATATATATATATATATATATATATATATATATATATATATATATATATATATATATATATATATATATATATATATATAAAGATAAAGATATAAAGATAAAGAAAAGATAAAGATAAAGATAAAAAGATGATTAAAAATGATTTTTAATTTACTGTTATCTAATTTAATTAATTGTTCTTTATTATAAATTTTTCATGTTTTTTTTTTCTTTTTGGAAAAATGCTTATATTACGTAATATTTTTGAGATACAACAAAAAATTACATAAAAATAAATGAACAAAAAAGAGACCATTTGACATCTCGTGTATTCACTTTTTTTTATATGTGAACCAAACGTGCTGTTAGAGATAAGCAAAACAACTCCGATTAATTATTTTGAGGTTCTCCTTCTTCTGCGAGGTTAGGATCGAAGAAACCCGAGTAGTAATTTTCTCATGCAAAATAAATATAAATATATAAATTAAAAAACGAGTGGTACCTAATTATCTCAAATATTTATTTATTTATTTATTAATTTAAGATGAAGAGTGAGTCTCGCATTCCTAAATACTGCTATAAATAGAGGGTTCATTTTATTATCTCATAAACAGAGAACAAACAAATAAAAATTAAAAAGAAAAAAATTAATCGATCAAATTAAAGCACAGATCGAAAAAATATAATGGCCGTCGCTGAGACGAAATTGGTTGCAGTGTTTGTGGTATGCATGGTGGTCCTGTCCGCCGTGAACGACGGCGTTTCCAAGGCGGAAGCCGGCAGCGAGGCGCCAGCTGGCAGCCCGGCGGAAGCCGGCGGCGAAACCAATCTGTACAAGGATTGTTACGAGACGTGCATGAAGAGCTGCACGAAAGACTGCAAGACGAAGTGTGACACTGAGTGCAAGGACACAGAGGCCAAACTGAAAAGCGTTGAAGGTTAGATGATGATAGGCATCTGATCTGAGGTGAATTGAATAATAATGTAGTTATTTAGTCGAATAAATTCTTTTTATTTTTATTTTTTTAAATTATGAATTACCTATATATATTGTACTGATTGTACAAGGTGCATGTAATTGAATGTTATTCATTCATTAATACTCCCTAATGAGTTACTCATTTAATTAAAAAGAAAAAAACCTACATATTAAAATTCTTGGCATTCGATCACCATTGAAGAATATACTTTGTACTAAGATTAAATTTGAGGATCAAATCACTCGAATTTTGAAGGTCCTTTTATGGAGTGAGACATTCAATTATCCTTTTATAAAGGAACCATGTTTAAAATGTAAGTATTACATTTTTTTTTGATAAGAAATAATCAGGCATAGGGCTATATATTCCTCGTAGACTTATTGCATCATCTTCAAATTAAAATATATTTTTATGTGTAACGCTTCATAAATCCAACCAAGGGATCCGTTTTTGCCAGAGGCCCTTCTGTGTAACAAAGGAATTGAAGGATGTGTAGTCTAGTGGTTGTGAATATTATTAGTTTTATTTTTACTTGTCAAATTTATAATATATTAAACACTATATATATATATATATATATATATATATATATATATATATATATAGCGAGAGAGAGAGATATTTTGATTCAAATGAGAACAGGGCTTCCCGTGAGGTTGGTGTGGTTTAAATGCACCATACAATGTTTGAAAATGCACCAGAATGAAAGTGCACTATATGTTTGAAAATTGAGTTAATACCCAAAATCGTCCTCGACTATAGTGGTTTTTTACAATTTCGTCCTAAACGACTTTGGTGACCTAATATCGTCCCAGACTTTTGTGTTTCGCTCAATTTAGTCCTCGACTTTTGTGTTTTTGCTTAATTTAGTCCCTCATTTGTTATTCTGTCCATTTGGTGTTAAATAAATGGACAATTCAGTAATGTCAATATTGATCTCTCTTTACTTTCAACTTGTGAAGTGTGAAATTCCTCTTTCTTGTACGAATTACACCCAGAATTACTCCCGGACCTGCAAATCAAAGTTTATATTCGCAGTTTTAGGAGTAATTCGTAAAAAAAAAAGAATTTCGCAGTTCACAGTAAAGAGATGTCAATATTAAAATTACTGAATTGTCTATTTATTTAACACCATATGGACAAAATAACAAATGAGGGACTAAATTGAGCAAAAACACAAAAGTCTGGGACTTAATTGAGCGAAACACAAAAGTCTGGGACGATATTAGGTCACCAAAGTCGTTTAGGACGAAATTGAGAAAAACCACTATAGTTGAGGACGATTTTGGGTATTAACTCTTTGAAAATTGCACCACACATAATGATGTATTTACATACACTTTTGTGCATTTATGCCAACCTAATAATGTTACAATTAGGGATGTCAATTGGATCAATCTTTTTGTTTTGGGCTATTAGGCTTATCGATTTGGTTTAAACTTTATAGCCCAAATTCTAAAATCTTGATTTGTCGAGTTTTTGAGCCGGCTCAACTAAAATTTTTGACATTAAACTTTTAATTTTAATAACTTAGCGCATTTATACTAACACTAGTTTTTTATGCGCATTGCGCGATTGAGATAATGCCCAATGTTTTTTTTTAATAAGTACTTTAAAGTATATTAAGGCAAGATTATATTGAAATTGTTCATGCATAGATAATTGAAGGTTGAATTTGCGTATTTAAATAGGTAATTCTTCTCCCAAAGGTTGAGTCCCCAACCCCAAAGGCCCCCCACACTCTGACTCGACAGAGCATTGTGGGAAGTTGTAAATCACGGTGACAGACAGGACCAAATGCCGGTGCGAACAAGGAATCTGCCCACTTTGGACATAATTCCCGCACTGCCGCCGCCGAGGTTCAAACCTTGGTCTCTTCTCCCAAATACTCCCCACTAAACCATTGAGCTAAGCCCATGCGGGTTAAATAGGTAATTCTAAGTTTACAAATGCAAGATATTATAGTCAAGATTGATTATAATTGTCAATAAAATAATTGTATAGGTATGGTTGAAACCAAATACGGGACATAAGGGAGAACAAATAAAAATTAGGGCATAAAATATTAAATATATACTAATATTGTTTGAGGAGATTTCGACATTAGGATTTGTGGTTAAGTTCTATTAAGACTTTAATATTAGAATTAGATTAATGGTGTAATTATAATTCTATATTAGACGTTAATATTAGAATTAGACTAACGGTGAATTAACGGTATTTAACGGAAAAGTTAAATGGATAATCATATAATTAAGGATAAATTAGAAAAACTTAAAAAAAATTAAAACCTGAACAATTTGAATCATTCATTTGATTTAATAATTTGACGGTCATTTTTTCTACCCAATGTTAATAATTAAATAAATTCGTTGGTCAAATCCGCTAATATAATCCGTAACTGCTGATTGTCAAACAAGGACATTGCAAGGTAGTTCTCACTTCAATTTGTTGTGTGATTTGAATATTCTCTTTGTCACAAAATCTCTCAAGTAGTTAATATGGTTGGCTTTATTAATTATATATTTTTTAATTTTTTCATGGTATTAATAAAATACTTGGTAAATAAATATATAGCATTATTTTGTATTATAACTTTGATATTTAATTAGAAAAATAGTGCACAAAAAAGATAATAGACAATGTAGTGAATATAATCAATTGATGAATTTGAATGTAAAAATTTTTACATTTTGAGAAAAATAAAGACAATATAACTAATGAAAATATTTCTCTTAATTAATTTATTGATAATGAATATTTTTTTTTTACTGAATTAAGACATTGTAAGGACAATGTAGCGAATATAATCAATTAATAAATTTGAATATAAAGAATTTTTATATTGTAGAAAAATAAAGACAATATAACTAATACAATTATTTCTCTTATTTAATTTATTGATAATGAATAATTTTTTTTTTTGAATAAAGGCATTGTGGATACATAATTCTAAATTAAAGAAATGCATATCTATAATTTTTTGTTGTAGCTACTAAATTATTATTTATATAATTTCCTAAGAGTAAAATAGAGTACTAATTATGCCAACTTTGATTGGGATGAGGTTCGAACCTAAGACCTTTTTTTTTTTTTTTTTTTTATTGAAATCAATGAGTAAGTTAACGGTGAACTAACGGTAATTCTTAAAATTTTAACGGAATTTGTAACGGTGTGTGGGTATTTTAGGAAATTTTAGTGTAAAATTTAAATCTTATCAATCTTTTAATCAATCTGAGCCATTCATTTGATTAAAATCTGTGACCGCCATTTTTTCTACCCATTATAAGCCTAACTCTCTTGGGCTCTTATTAGTTAACGGAATTTGTAACGGTGTGTGGGTATTTTAGGAAATTTTAGTGTAAAATTTAAATCTTATCAATCTTTTAATCAATCTGAGCCATTCATTTGATTAAAATCTGTGACCGCCATTTTTTCTACCCATTATAAGCCTAACTCTCTTGGGCTCTTATTAGTATAGTAGATAGTAGAAATATTAACTTGTACATCATTTAATCAACCTAAACCTTCACTCCCAAATTTCAACTAAAAATAATTACTATATTTACATGCACTTTAATATAATAATTATAATATTTTTTTTTTAATTTTTCATTAGTTATTTTCATAAAAATTTTCATAAAAATATTTTATTCTCTAATATATTTATTGATATATTTATTAAAATTTTATTTTAAACTTAATACAAATATTAAAGATGAGCTTACATATAAACTAAAAAAATAGAAGTGGTAGAGGTGGCCACGTGGCAGTTCAAGGTCGAACCAATCTTGAACCGGCTCGGAAAAAAGTGGACATGGGCTTGTTAAGGGTCGATTTAGGTCTTTTTTAAAATAAATTCGGGGCCTAGCATGGAACTGGCCCATGGAAGGCCCGAGCACGGTCCAGGCACGGGTTCGGCTCGGGCAAACACAACCAATTTATCCCTATAAATACCCTTACCCAATTTATTTTTATCACACAAAAATTCTTAATCCTACACTCTCTTAGTTCTACTCACAACAATTCTTCATAAATTAAAAGCAAATCCAATTTAAAAGTCTTTTATAAATTTTTAATTTATCACTCTAACATAATTTAGTGAGTAAAAATCAAATGAACTTTATAAACTATACTATATTTTATAATATTTATAAGTTATCAAATAATATTAAGTCTTATATAAAGTTTTAATAGTACAAGACTACAAGTATAAATGTATTTAACATCATTTATAAATTTTAGTTTAGTAGAAAATCATGTTAATTTTAGATTTTGAGATTAATAATTAAAATATTATTTTTAACAAAAAAATATTAATTTTAGAAAAGTGTGTGACTCTCTGTGTGTGCGAGTGCGTGCGTGCGTGTGTTATTATTGTATCAAGATTTTGAAGTAGCTTAATTGGAAAGAACTTAAATTAGTTATTAGGAGGTCAAGGGTTTAAATCTTATTTCAAACAAAATATATCAATTTATAAAAAAAAAATTATATATTTAAAAAATATTACAAATTACGGGTCTAGCTTGGGATCGGCCCACAAGAAGCCTGGGCCCAGGCCCGGACTAGTAGTACAATCCTTAATGATTGTTTCATCATTAGCATCCACATTTTGCAGGTTATCAACAATAACTATAGGGTTAGGGATTCACAGGAAGGAAAATTGAACACATGAATTTCGCAAGTGGTAAATG